ATGTGGCCAGGACTTGCTTGACTTGATTGGAAAGGACTGGACTTGACTTGAGTGAAAGGAATGGACTTGATATAATTGGCAGAGGGACTAGCAGGGCTGGAAGGAACTTAGGGGGACTTTAATTGACTAGAAAGGACTGGACTAGACTTGATTGGGAAGGCTGGGACTGAACTGGATTGGGAAAAACTGGATTTGTTTGGGTTTGACTGAAAAGGACTGAACTGGAATGGACTGGGCTTGGCTGAAACAGATGTGACAGAAGGGGACTAGAAGGAACTTGACTGCAGGGGACTGGAGTTGACTTGACTCAATGGGACTGGACTGGACAGGACCGGATGAGTCTAGGCTGGACCTGACTTGGAGTGGCAGCTGTCCATCTCTGCTGGAAGGCTGACTGACTGGACTGACTGGACTGGACTGGTGACAAACTGGACTGGACTGGTAACAAACTGGACTGGACAGGTGGCTGACTGGAGTAGAACGTTAACTGACTGAAGTAACAGCTAATTGGCTGCACTGGAGAGCTGACTGACGAATATCAAGGTTGTCATCTAGTCCATCCTCGCCTCTTTGATCACCGTGTGGTACGCAGGAGCCACCATCAGGGACATGAAAAGACTGCAGCATGTCGTGTGCTCTGCTGAGAAGGTCATTGGCTGCAAACTCCCCTTTATACAGGGCTGTACAGCTCCAGGACCGTGAGGTGTGCGTGTCGGATCACAGCAGACCCGTCTCACCCCGAACACAGTCTCTTCGACTCGCTCCCATCTGGCAGGAGGCTCTGATCCATTCGGACCAGAACCTCTCGCCACAAAAACAGTTTCTGTCCCTCTGCGGTCGGACTCTTTAATGTCAATCGTAGAACTGGGGGCAGTTCGCTGGAGCTGTTGACAAGTAATTAAAATTTCCGCTACAGACAGAAGTTTACTCAGCAGCATCCAACATGAAATGAATCACACAGGCGGGAACCCCCCGCTGGCTCATTCTTCTCGCAGAAAACGCAAATCTGACCTGTGTGTGAAACCAAATTCCGGTGCCGTTCGATACCTTTTGGGGCCGTGCCGACGCTAATGTGTAAAGCGCCATTAGACTCCACCAAGGCGGCCCTTTCATCACCGATTCTGTTCATAACTGTTTTGGTGGCCTAAGAACCAGGGCCCTCATTTATCAAGCGTACTTAGAAATCTGTGCATATATTGTGCGTAGGAACGATTTGACATATTGTGTGGTATTTACCAAATTGTACTTGTGCATAGAAATGTTCCTGAATGTCAGAACATCTCTGACCATGCACACAAACAGCATCTATTGGTAGAACAGGGGAACGGCGGTACTGAAGGTCTCAGTCGTCCCCACGTGTTCTCATCCAAAAAGTATTTTATCTATGGAATTATTATGTCGTTGGAAAATGTCTCTTTCACATAATTGGTGCTAAAACCAATAAAAGACTCATGTGACCAACAGGAATCTGACATTATATGATGGCTGTTCTGTATTATTGGAAGATTTAACATTGCATGCACACTGGAGGGAACACGTGCTCCGTGAGCGCTCTGATCTCAAAGGAAATCCTTCTGCTACGCTGGGATTTGGGGCCCACTGTGGCGCGACAGATAAACCGCACAAATCCGAACCCATATCATTTTTATTACACAACTACGAGAACCCTCCAGAACCTCCTTTGCTCCCCGATCATACACGCTGCGTTGCCAAGGTAACCAGACTGAATGACAGCTCAGACGAGGCTCCTCTCTCAAGATAAAATGTCCACCAAAATATACCAACTCCTAACAGAACAACTCTTCAACAACCAGCTACTCCACGATTTATCAGATTCATTCAGTTATTTATTCCTGACAGGAGCCTCTCCTCTGTCCCGACCGCGTTTATAACCTCTGCAACGTGTTTGGTTCTTTTGCACTTCCGCAGCAGTGTCTCCATCTCGCTGTCAATAAAGTTTTTCTTATTTTTCCAGGAAAAAAAAATTCCCTCATGTGCTGAAGATGTAGCGTTAACAAACATGGTTCATTGAGGGCGTTCCTGTACGTAAATGACTGAGCACGGAAACGAGCACCTGAGCATGCACAGGAGGAACGCTCGTACGAGAGGCCGCCGCATGTTTCACAAATCAGGACTTCCACTGTCCGTACTAACATTCTAAATTAAATCCGTAGAAAGGAACATTAGACCGTTTCAACAAGCGTTTGATAAATGAGGGCCCAGGTCTCTGCTTTTTGCAAATTATGTGGTCCTGTTGGTCCGCTCAAAACGTGATCTCAAGCTTTCGCTGGAGCGGTTCACAGCTCCGGGTGTTGTACACGAGGGAAGGGAAAATTGAGCACGAGTTTGATATCATACCACACAACACCATATTTATTTGTAAAAGCACATTTAAAAGCAGCATGCCAGCTGACCAATGTGCTGCACTCGGTAAAAACGTAGACACAAAAACACAAATTAGTAGGCGAGTTGGTGCTGCGTCTGCAGTACTGTGGCATTGTTTGAGTGGAGTAAATGTTCCTCTAGTGATAAAAGACTGTGAGTGTGTGTCATCAGTTAAACACACGCAAACACAGACGCACACACACACACACACACACACACACACACGCACGCGCACGCACACACACACACACACACACGTGCGCGCGCACACACACACACACGCACGCACACACACACACACATGCACGCACACACACGTGCACGCACACACACACACACACACACACACACACAGAGCAGGTGAAGGAAGCATGAACACAGCATAACATCTGTTATCTACAGGAGGATGAGTCAGGTCCTGCCGCATCACCACAACAACCCCTGTGGAGACGAGACACATCCACGAAGCATCTGGATGACTCATCCCTCTGTAGGAGGGAGGGCTTTCTAAAGGAACCCAGCTCCTTCCTGAAAAACGTCACCGTTTAAATTTACACTGAACGAAAACAAAAACGAATATAAAGGCAAAGTGCTCACTAACACATGTGGACAGATTTCAGAACAACATTTGAGAGTCATGGGTCTTTTGTGTTTCAGATGTTTGAGTTCAGCTCATGAAAAACGGGAGCAAAAACAAAAGCGTTGTGTTTATAATTTTGTTCAGTGTATGACTCTACCAGGACAGGTCAGTCGTAGAGACTATGACTCTACCAGGACAGGTCAGCCGTAGAGACTATGACTCTACCAGGACAGGTCAGCCGTAGAGACTATGACTCTACCAGGACAGGTCAGTCGTAGAGACTATGACTCTACCAGGACAGGTCAGTCGTAGAGACTATGACTCTACCAGGACAGGTCAGCCGTAGAGACTATGACTCTACCAGGACAGGTCAGCCGTAGAGACTATGACTCTACCAGGACAGGTCAGTCGTAGAGACTATGACTCTACCAGGACAGGTCAGTCGTAGAGACTATGACTCTACCAGGACAGGTCAGTCGTAGAGACTATGACTCTACCAGGACAGGTCAGTCGTAGAGACTATGACTCTACCAGGACAGGTCAGCCGTAGAGACTATGACTCTACCAGGACAGGTCAGCCGTAGAGACTATGACTCTACCAGGACAGGTCAGCCGTAGAGACTATGACTCTACCAGGACAGGTCAGTCGTATAGACTATGACTCTACCAGGACAGGTCAGTCGTAGAGACTATGACTCTACCAGGACAGGTCAGCCGTAGAGACTATGACTCTACCAGGACAGGTCAGCCGTAGAGACTATGACTCTACCAGGACAGGTCAGCCGTAGAGACTATGACTCTACCAGGACAGGTCAGCCGTAGAGACTATGACTCTACCAGGACAGGTCAGCCGTAGAGACTATGACTCTACCAGGACAGGTCAGCCGTAGAGACTATGACTCTACCAGGACAGGTCAGCCGTAGAGACTATGACTCTACCAGGACAGGTCAGTCGTAGAGACTATGACTCTACCAGGACAGGTCAGCCGTAGAGACTATGACTCTACCAGGACAGGTCAGCCGTAGAGACTATGACTCTACCAGGACAGGTCAGCCGTAGAGACTATGACTCTACCAGGACAGGTCAGTCGTAGAGACTATGACTCCACCAGGACAGGTCAGCCGTAGAGACTATGACTCTACCAGGACAGGAGTCAGTCGTAGAGACTATGACTCTACCAGGACAGGTCAGTCGTAGAGACTATGACTCTACCAGGACAGGTCAGCCGTAGAGACTATGACTCTACCAGGACAGGTCAGTCGTATAGACTATGACTCTACCAGGACAGGTCAGTCGTATAGACTATGACTCTACCAGGACAGGTCAGTCGTAGAGCCTATGACTCTACCAGGACAGGTCAGTCGTAGAGACTATGACTCTACCAGGACAGGTCAGTCGTAGAGACTATGACTCTACCAGGACAGGTCAGCCGTAGAGACTATGACTCTACCAGGACAGGTCAGTCGTAGAGACTATGACTCTACCAGGACAGGTCAGTCGTAGAGACTATGACTCTACCAGGACAGGTCAGCCGTAGAGACTATGACTCTACCAGGACAGGTCAGTCGTAGAGACTATGACTCTACCAGGACAGGTCAGTCGTAGAGACTATGACTCTACCAGGACAGGTCAGCCGTAGAGACTATGACTCTACCAGGACAGGTCAGCCGTAGAGACTTAGACTCTACCAGGACAGGTCAGCCGTAGAGACTATGACTCTACCAGGACAGGTCAGCCGTAGAGACTATGACTCTACCAGGACAGGAGTCAGTCGTAGAGACTTTGACTCTACCAGGACAGGTCAGCCGTAGAGACTATGACTCTACCAGGACAGGTCAGCCGTAGAGACTTAGACTCTACCAGGACAGGTCAGTCGTAGAGACTTTGACTCTACCAGGACAGGTCAGCCGTAGAGACTATGACTCTACCAGGACAGGTCAGTCGTAGAGACTATGACTCTACCAGGACAGGTCAGTCGTAGAGACTCCTGATGGAACGAGTTTATATGGACATGCTGGGATTTCAGACACATACCTGCATAAAGCCCCCCCTCTCCTCTTCCTCACTCGCCCTCAACTGGATGACATCATCGTCCTCCTCTTCTTCATCCAGTTCACTCTCTGTACTCTCCCCTTTGGCATGCATGCTCCTGTGGTCCTCCTCGCCCTTTACGTGCACGCCCAGCCGCTCAGATGAATGAGTGCTGTCGTCCGATCCCTGTTTTTGAAGTCTGACAACAAAACAACATTTAAGTGGAAGACAGCTGTGTGCAGATGGATAAGAGGGAGGATCTGATTCTCAGGTACACTCACCTGTTTGGACTTGCACTGTCATCCTCCTGCATGTCATTGGTCTCTGATAGCTCCTCCTCCGTTTCCTCTGGGTGAGTGGGTGGAGGCCTCGGAAGGTCCACCCCCTTTGACAGAATCTACACACACATGGTTATGCTAGTGTGTGTGTGTGTGTGTGTGTGTGTGTGTGTGTGTGTGTGTGTGTGTGTGTTTGTGTGCGCGCGAATGTGTATACCTTGTAGTGTTTCTCCAAGAAGTGCTGGTGTTGCTGTTGGACCACTAGCTGCTGCAGGGCTTGGGGGGACTGGGGTAAGGGTGCACTCTGTGTGCGTGCAAGGGGCCGATGGCGAGGTAGCTTGCTAACAGGTCGCATGCCCCCGGTGATGCCTCGCTCTGCTGTAACCAGCGGGGACTGGTTGTACACGGGGACTGTAAGTGTAAAAGGACAACGAGAGTGAGCGTGCATGTGTGTGTGTGTGTGTGTGTGTTTGTGCATGCATGCGTGTGTGTGGGTGCTAGAGCCACCTAGCAGAGCGGTCTGTTGCCTGGCCTGCTCCAGCAGCAGCACGTGCTGCAGCAACGAGGAATGGGCTGAATGAGAAGTGGGGGTGGGACTCTCTACGTCGTGTGCTACACCTGCAAACAAATTATCATCACATCTCATTTCTTAGAACTTCAGACGCCTGTTATGTGGAGGACAACCAACTCCTGTTCAACCAGTCCAATTAGTCCCACAACATCCCTCTGGTGATTTCCCAAGCTCAGGTCAAAGTTCAAACCCAGACGTGTTTTTCCTGGAAAGTGAAGCTAGATTAGAAATGCTTCTTCCCACGTTCAGAATGCTTTTATAACAAAACTACAAGTTCTCACATGAGCCTTCTGTAACCTCCTGAGGTAAACTCGAAGTTGCAGTCAGACACTCTACATAAACGGGAAGAGCTGAGCCAGGTCTGATTCTGTAGAACCGTTTGGTTTATTACTTTATGTTGGTGGCATTTGCACATTACAAGTAATAAAAGGGTGGCTTGCCAACCTCGGGTCGGGGGAGAGGTCCTACCTCAAGTGGAGGAGTTTAAGTATCTCGGGGTCTTGTTCACGAGTGAGGGTAGGAGGGATCGGGAGATCGACAGGCGGATCGGCTCAGCGTCTGCAGTGATGCGGACGCTGAGCCGATCTGTCGTGGTGAAGAGGGAGCTGAGCCAGAAAGCCAGGCTCTCGATTTACCGGTCGATCTAAGTCCCAATCCTCACCTATGGTCATGAGCTTTGGGTAATGACCGAAAGAACGAGATCGCGGATACAAGCGGCCGAAATGAGTTTCCTCCGTAGGGTAGCCGGGCTCAGCCTTAGAGATAGGGTGAGGAGCTCGGACATTCGGGAGGGACTCAGAGTAGAACCGCTGCTCCTCCGGATCGAAAGGAGTCAGTTGAGGTGGTTTGGGCATCTGGTCAGGATGCCTCCTGGACGCCTCCCCGGGGAGGTGTTTCGGGCATGTCCTGCCGGCAGGAGGCCCCCGGGTCGACCCAGGACACGTTGGAGAGGTTACATCTCCAATCTGGTCCGGGAACGCCTTGGGGTCCTGCCGGGGGAGCTGGTGGAGGTGGCCGGGGAGAGGACGGTCTGGAGCTCCCTAGTTGGGATGCTGCCCCCGCGACCCGGATAAGCGGAGGAAGACGACGACGACAAATAATAAAAATCCCCACATCCATCATGCCGATGATATATGATGACGATATGAACTGTGTCTGTACTAGGACAGAAGTAAACATACACGTTGGTGGTAAAAGCTGCAGACCTGACGACGTTGACATTAAAGGTGCAGTATGTAAGAACATAGTGAGAAAATCCCAAAGGAGTCTTAACGTTTCAGTCATTTTGGAAGGAAGGTTTCACTGAAACATGTTTCATATCCAGCCGGCTGCTGGATTGTCAGTTTTCTCCTTTCAAAACAAAGGAAGGAGGGATGTTGCTACTGTTTAGCATCAGTGAGTGTGGGGGTGCCGTGTCTCCTGCGAGCTGATGCTGCAGCGCCGACAATTGTAATTTGGCGACGGCCGGCAAAAAGCTCCAGAGTTGTTTAAAGTGGATGTAGTAAACACATTTTACCACAGGATGTCATCTTTACTTCATTTCTACATGATGCACCTTTAAGTGATTACCTTCAGTCCTATGTGCTCGCATGTAGAAGATTTCAGGCTTTAATCTGAATGCGCTGCTCTAATCTTTCTGAACCTCTCAGCTGTATCCCAACTCATGCGTTATGTGTTTTCATTTGATGATTTCCTGTTTCTGCCTTGGTGCAGCACTGAGTAGACCAGTAGCATCCCGTTCTTCAGTCACACATGAGAGGAGAAATACTTAATTCACCTGCTGGTAGTGATGAGGTGGAGAGGAACTTCCCTGTTAAAGCTCCACCCCCTCGTAGTGATTGGACGGCCTGGCGCTCAGCTTCCTGCTGAGTGGACAGCTTCTGGGGGGTCTGCGGGGGTGTTAATAAGACAGGAGAGTTATCTGTGATGTTCCACACAGACCCTAGAGCTGCTAAAGCAAATCTCTTGTGTCCAACTACCTCCTCCTGCATTAGTTCAGTAAACACAACCTTTGGTTGAATAAAAGACATAATAACAGGATCAGGGAAAATGTAATAATAATATATGCAACTGCATCCTGCATGTGTGATTCTTCCCTCTGCGTGATTAAAATGTAAGCGAGTTAGGACGTTTTAACGTTGTGTGTGTCCTCTACATTAGCTCATAGTGCTGTGGAGCTGTGTGTGCAGCATCAACGCCATCAGAGCAGCAGCACAGATTCAACCAGTAGAACCATACTAGTGTCCTTCAGAAAAATTCGCATTGCATCAACTTTCCAAATTTTGTTATGTCATGCCCTTGTTCCAAAATAACTGCAACTCCAGACCTCAAGAGTCCAACGCACCCGGTTTAAACCGATGAGGAGTTAACAGGATTCTATGAAAGTCAACATGAAGGAGATTTACTGGTTAGTGTGGTCCTGAGCTCAACCGTCCAGTTTAATGGAACAGAGAACCATCACTGGACTACAGCTTCCTGAAGGAGTCAGGAGGAGGTGCTGCATTGACTTACCGTCATGTGTGTGTTGGCAGGGAGGCCCAGGGAGATGTTGGGGAGAGAGGGTGAGGTGTAAAGACTCAGTGGACTCAATGTTCCATCAGCCCCCAGCGTCTGGTGGAGAGATCTCAGCTACACACACACACACACACACACGCACGCATGCACACACACACACATTGTTTCTTTCTGTATTCATGTGATTTCTTTATTGCATCTGTCCAAAGCATCACTCATCGTCACTGTTCTGGCCTCCACCTCACCCCAAAACTCCACCCCAAACCCAAACCTGCCCCAGAAGTCCATTGACCAGCTCCCATTACACTCGTCACTTCACTCAGACCAAACCAGCTTCACAACTTGGAATATTGTATATAATACTGTGTGGCGGTGTTTGTTGACTTGGCTAAAGCCTTTGACTCTGTAGACCAGGACTATTCATTCCCGGGCCTCGAGGGCTGGTGTCCAGCACGTTTTAGTTTTAACCCTGCTTCAACACACCAGGTCTGATTTCATCAGCAGGTGATTAACAGGCTTCTGCAGAGCCTGATGAGCTGCTGCACAGGTGACTCAACAACTGAATCTAGTGTGCTGGACCAGAGAAACCACTAAAACGTGCTGGATACGGGCCCACGAGGACCGAACTTGAATAGCCCTGCTGTAGACCATAACATCTTAGTTGGCAGACTCAAACACGGACTCTCTCAGGCATCCGTGGCATGGTCCAGAAGTTATATCTTAGGCTGTACGCAAACAGTGAGATCAGAGGGTTACCAGTCTGCTCCTCTACCTCTATCTATGGGCGTTCCTCAAGGGTCGATACTGGGCCCAGCCTTAATCAAAATCTATATTAATAACATTGTTCACGCTGTTGACAGTTCTCATATACATTTACATGCAGACGACACGGTTTTATATTCATGCAGTTTTTCCTTGAATGCAGCTTTGTCCTACTTGCAACACAACTTTAATAGTCTTCAACGTGCCTTCTCCAACCTTCATCTTCATCTAAACACACGTAAAACAAAGTTCATGATCTTCAACCGTAACTTACCACATCAACCTCCCACGCTAGTGTTGCTTCCCTGGATGGTACAGAACTACAACAAGTTCCTACAAGTATCTGGGTGTCTGGCTGCACAGCACACTTTCATTTGACATTCATACTGATTCACTACTTTCTAAAGTGAAGTTAAGACTTGGGTTTCTATAGCAACAGGTCATCCTTTACTCATTCTGCAAAGCAAACCTTGGTCAACGTGACAATCCTTCTCATTTTAGATTACGGTGACATCATTTATAGAACTGCTTCCAAAAAACTTCTTCATAAACTCGATGTCGTTTATCACTCAGCAGCCTGTTTCATCACTGGTGTCCCTTTCACTACTCATCATTGTGATCTGTGCTCACTCGTTAACTGGCCATCACTCCATTCCTGCAGGTTGTTACTTTGGCATCAGTTCATAATAATCAGTAGAACCCCGTCATATCTTCACTCGCTACTCATCACTTCCAGCAACCAGCACATTTTACGTTCCAGTAACTTAATCTCTACGGTTATTCCCAAAGCTCGCACCTCCTTTGGCCGCTCCTCATTCCAGTTTGCTGCTTCCAACGACTGGAATGAGCTGCAAAAACCACTGAAGCTCACTGCCTACATTCCATTATCTACCTGCAATATTTCATTGCGATCAATAGTTTCTGATCAATGTGCTTCTGATTACTGAAAGACTGTTTTGATTGCTTGTGTATATTTTAAATGAGAACAGTCCTTTATCTTTATGTTTAACAGTTTATCTTATTTAGTTTGTTTATTCTCATCTGTTGTTCTTTGGTGTAAAGCTAACTATGTGTCTGTTGCTGCTGCCTCTTGGCCAGATCGACGTTGTAAATGAGAACGACTCCTGAATCGACTCATTTGGTTACAAAATAAAATAAATAAAATGCATTACACCTACCCGCCCACGTCAAAACCCCAGGACTACATCAGAAAGCTGTCTCCTCTGCCTGGGGCTCAGTAATCCGTGGCAGTTTCTCAATACTCAAGGACGCTAGAACGTTCTTGTGTACTAGACAGGTATGTTCTTGGCACGGACACCAGAAAGTCTGTTCTATCGAGTACAGGAGGACGAGGACGGCATTTGGAACAGAACCGTACTCCGTTGTGTCCTGGCAACCAGGTGCTACAATTTCAAAAAATGACCTGATGTAAAAATAAGACTTTAGTAGTTTGTTCCCTAGATAACAAAATAACAACGAAAACGTAAATGTGTCCCACATTGATCAAAACTCATAAAATACTAGCATTTCACTCTAATGAATAAAAAATGTATATTTTCCATCAGAACAGAGCTATGCTGCTTTTATTTGGCAGTGCGTTAGCCAATTAGCATGTTTAGGGATTGTGAAGAGTAAAACTCAAACACACACATGCATATTTACAGCAGGGTTTCCCCCAGTGCTTTATAAGCTTTTGCTTGCCCACCCGCCAGGCTAAGCGTCATGCCCCGCCCCCCTCCCTGACCGTGTCCGCTGACACGAACGGCGCAACGAAACTAGAGCCCTCCATCAGCTGATACTGGTGAGAAACAGCACACAGAGGCGCGTGGCGGGACGGAGCGTGTGACCGACCCCCCCCCCCCCGAACAACGTCCTCTGCTTCTTGAGGATAAATGGAGTAGGAAGTGTCGCCACCATCAGCGTCAGCTCTGAGGATGTTTACAGCCAGTAAATGAAACTGTTAGCAAGGTAAAGAGAAACCTTTCCTGTGTTTAAAAGAGAACCAAAAATGGAATCCCAGAAGATCAGCAGTTTCTGAAATACTCAGACCAGCAGGTCTGGCACCAACAACCCCGACACGTTCAAAGTCACTTAAAGAGCAAGTCACCCCCTACCAGAGTCTTACTCCACTCCTACTTCCTGTTTGAAAAATGCAACAAGTGCAGTTGCCTGGCAGACCGAGAGGGCGCTTAACAAATACACACACACACAGGCTCACAATGACATTGTGACATAATAATGTACCAGCTAACATCATAGTGTACCTCTTAGCCAATAGCCATGGCAGATTTGAAATCAAATGCAGTGCAGAGTTTTTACCTGAAGAGGGCGCAACACTGACAGTTTTAGGCAGAACATTTAAAATTGAACTAAAGTGCCAAATTATTGACTACACGTGTCTACAGCACGATTAGACACATTTATTTAGTTTCTCAGCAAAAAAACGTTGATTTGGGATGACTTGCTCTTTAAATCACCTTTCTTCCTCATTCTGAAGCTCGCTTTGACCTGCAGCAGAACATCTTGACCATTAAATAGAATAGACTTTATTAATCCCACAGTGGGGAAATTCAGTTACATCATGTCAACGTGCCTAAATGCACTGATTTGCCACCATGTAATTGGTTGATTAGTTATTTGCATTAACGAGCAGTTGGAAAGGTGTGCCCAATAAACTGGCCAGTGAGTGTATACAGTCTTCTGACTGACAGCTGTAGTGGTCCATCAGAGGACCTCTGTAGAAGACTCTCAGTCTTGGTGAGTAATTATCTTTCTGAAGCATGTTGAACTGTTTTAGATCCTTAACCGTCCACAATGAGTCATTGTGTGTGTGTGTGTGTGTGTGTGTGTGTGTGTGTGTGTGTGTGTGTGTGTGTGTGTGTGTGTGTGTGTGTGTGTGTGTGTGTGTGTGTGTGTGTGCTCACGTACCTCCGACTGTATGTTTGGAACGGACCCTGTGTTGCCATTGGCAATAGCAGAGTTGGAGCTGTTGGGACTGCTGGGACCAGAGCCTGGAGCGCTATTACACAGAGAGGACACTGAGAGGGAACACACATAAGCAATCAGTTAAACAGGAAGTCAGTGTTGACCTCCAGCTGATTTCAGATCCAATCTGGTGCAGGGGTTGGTCTGGTTTACCTGAGATCTCAATGGCCCTTTTCTTGAAGGTGCTGATGACAGTTCCATCCTTCCTGCGGAGGAGCGGAGAGCTGCGCCGCTCTGCCACCTTCTGCTTTAACCGAGAGCGCACCTTCAGGTTTGGTTCTGAGACTGAATGAGTCAGAAAGAGGTGGGAGAGCAGAACACAGAGTCTGAGCTACAGTCAGGTCTGAACTACCTACACACACACACACACGCACACACACACGCACACACACACACGCACACACACACACACACACACGCACACACACACACACGCACACACACACACACACACACAGCTCCTCAGGATATGTATCAAACTGGGTGTTCTTCTGGACTGAGCAGTCCCCTAATGCTCATAAAATACGTTTTACGTTCTCTGTGTTTACTGATGCTACTGACATTAACTTTGTTTTCTGCATCTCAGAAAGGATGACCGGATGCTCCTGTCTTCCTGGGGTTGTCTCTTTCTCTTGCCTGTCCTCTAAGACCCCAGTGGGTCCATCCTGCTTCTAGTCCTGCTGTAGGCTTCTTCCTGTTCAAATGGACTTCTCTTTTCCACAGACAGCATCGTGCTGTGCTCATCACAGTTGGTGGAGGTGGGTCCTGGTTCCATCACATATGGGACTAACGACCCTTCCACATAGGGCCGGCTGCAGTCCGCTCTGTCAGTCCCAGCCTGGCCGGGTTGATTACACACGTCCTTATGAATGTGGACGTGAATGAGCATATGGGCGGTCTCCAAAACTGTCATGAAAAACATTTAGACTGTGTGGCTTAAATCAGTAGTTTTTATTTAACACATTGTTTCTGATAAAAACAAAACTCTGAAACATGAAAGGAAAACCTGCTTCGGGTCAGCAGGCTGTCGCTGTCATGTAACCAGTGCAACGCTAACGAGTCAGTATGTGTCTAAAGAGTCTGTCTGGCCAAAAGAAGTCATTAGTCTTCATCAGCGTGAACACCATGGCACCGACAACGTCGACATGATGATCGTAACGGAGCAGAAGGCTGAAGAGCAGATGTAGCTAACTGCTGAAGCCACACAGGATAACCCACAGACATGTGTACGCAGACGCCTCATGGACTAGCGCTGCCTATTGGAGCTGCCGTAGTGGCCGGCCGCCATTTTGGATGGGTCTCCATTTGCCCCAGTGCATTCATTTCTACTGAGGAAGGTGCTTACCAACTAAAAAACACACAGAAACGGGCGTGGTTGTTCACCCTGCATCTGTGCCTTTTCTTACAGCCGCTGCTCTGCATGGATTTTGGAGTGGAGGAGACCCATCTAACATGGCGGTGAAGTTGTTCCAGTGCCCAATTGGGCATCTACGTATTCATATCTATGGGATAACCCGCTTTAAAATCGAGCGAACCCCAAGACGTTTGTCACCGCCCAGTTCCATACAGCTCTCCTGCTGGCTGAGCGGTTGCTAGGAGACTATACTTCCAATTATACTTCCAAGTTTTGAGAGGGAGCAGAAAAAAATCCATGAGAGCAGGGAACAGAGTTGTGGGAGCAGTTTTGATCCGTGCAGAGAAAAGTTTTCACGTGAGAAGACCATACCAGTGTAACGTGATGACGGAGCTATTCCACCGAGGGTTATTTACCCTCTCTCCTCAGATGTCTCTGACACAGAACTAGTCTGCATGAGATATGGCCTCAAGGTCTCATGCATTTGCTTCTAAACTGTTTTCCTTTCCAGCTCAAGAGAAGAATGAAGACAAAGGACTCTTTCTTTTAAATAAATCAAAGAACTCTATTTTTAATAAAGCTAATCAAACAAAGTGTTAGTCAATAATAAAATGTGAACCAATTTGTGAAATGAAAACATTAATTACTTGATATTATTATTACTACAGAATATAATAAGTAATATGACTTTAAATGTTTCCACTAGAGACTGATCACACGTCACATGACACATTGCTTTTACTGATCCATTCAGAACCTTCCAGGTCTGATGCGAGGCGTGGTTTTGGTGGTGCTTGGTAAAGTTGTCCCATTTTGATTCGACCGTAAACCAAAACATCCAAATTATAAAACTATGCCCACGTCATCTTTAACACCAGTTCAAAGTGTTCTAGAGAAGTTGTCGGAGTGGCCAATCCGTAATTTTCCTCTTCAGCCAAAAGAACCAACGACAAGCTGGATAAAATCTGTTGCTGATCCAACTGCTGCAACGGTTCCTTTCAGAATAAAAGCTGAACCATCACGACCCCTTTTTGGGTCTTGCTACATGCCAACAAAACTGTCGTGACCCGGAAGTATCTCAAAGACAGTACTGGTCGGCAACCGCGGCTGTGCCACAGGCTTCGGCACCAGAAAGGTCCAAGCTGGACCTCAACACCTCCTGATCTAACGGGGACTTCCGCCAAGGGTGCGTAGACCGACAGAATGGCATCTCAATGTGTTTATAAATCTCCAAACCAAGCCTAGCGCGAAACATCATCTTCACTCCCATCAGAACTAATCGTTTCTCCGGATCTGCTGGTTCTGAACATTTCACACATACACCATTCTCAGTCTTACCTCACCTTAGTTACACCATACACCTAGTGTTAAAGTTAGTCTAGTTTTAATTTGTTTAGTAATAAATCTTTAAACTTTTAAAACTTGACTCACTCTCTTTTCTTGAAGTTAATACGGAGTGTTGCTCAATCCCTGCAATAAAAAGATCCGATCTTCTGACTGAATTTACTTAAAGATCCATTAAGGTGATATTTCATATTCATAATATTTCACATTTTATGGTTTCTAATTAAATGTAGGAACGCCTTCGCTACACCAGAGTAAGAAGGTTACATCTGAGCGCAGAAACAAAGATTTGAAAGAGAGCAGACATTTTGAGTGCAAGCATTACACGTTTTGAGAGCAATAATATTAAATCGTATTCTCAAATTAAAAAGTTGGTCTCTTGATATGAAACTCTGCTCTCAAATAGAAAATTCAAGTGCTCATTTTGTGGCATTTTAATTCTTCCATAGTTATCTATATTAATTCTGTGGGCTCGTGGAAACTCAACACTGCAACCTATGGAACAACATTACTGCATTTAAGTAATAACTTGTTGGTTGAAGATGTAATGACTCAAATTGTAAAGAAGTGAAAAAATTTAAAGCCTAATTTCTACTTCTCTGTCTGCTTCACGGGGGAGACTCATGCACACATGGACAGAGACGTTTTGCTTTCGGACTTGTCCGTCTCTTTTTTTTTTTCGAAGCACATCCAACCAGGAGACCTAAAGAAGACCCAAGACACGTTGGAGGGACTATGTCTCTCACCCGGCCAGGGAACACTTTGGGATTTCCCCAGAAGAGCTGGTCCAAGTAGCCGGGGAGAGGGAAGTCTGGGCCTCTCGACTTAAGGTTGGTTTATGCTTGACGCGTCCGCGAGGTCCGCACGGCTCCGCGCGGAAAAGTTGCGTCATTTTGCGTCATTTTAACAACCACGCCCCTCCACCGCGTCTCCGCACGGCCCAAGATTTCCGCAACGCGTACCTCGGAAAATTTCTAACCACGCGGACGGTCGGACGTGGAAAAACATGGCGGACCGGCATGGCAGAGGTTCGTAAATACAGACATTTGTATGCTTCAGCTCTCAGAGATCACCGTGATCAACATGTTGTTAATAATTCTTGGAGAAAATAGCTCGCACTGTCGGAAAAGACGAGGACGCTGTTAAAAATGCTGAAATACCATGTTGTAAACAGTGATTTCTACTTCTACTATGGTGTAGTGTTGGATGCATGCCGTAGAGCTCCATGCTACCCCCTACAGTTTGGGAGAATATTGGCTCACCGCAGAGACGAGCCGCACAAACCATAAACGCTGCGAGTTGTGAAGCGCGTTCCAGCCGCGAGCCGCATCACCGCGCGGAAAGTGAATGCGTCAAGCATCAACCAAGCTTTAGGCTGCTGCCTCCACGAACCGAAGAAAAAATGGACTCCGTCTCCTGGGAGTGTTGCAAAACAATTCGCCGCCAGGACAGCAGAGGGCGTAGCGCTGTTCTGTCGTATCCTGGCATGGATCTGGTCCAAGATGGTGCATTTAGTATGGTGTTTTTATTATGAATTTTTTTGGTATTTCAGAGACTTTTTAAGAGGAACAAATTTGTCCTTCATCCTCCTTCACCTCTTCATGCACTCGCCACCTCTAAACCCATCATTTCCATCCACGAATAAAACGCTTGCTGCGTTTCTTCCCACTCCTCCAGCCACGGGTGAATATAACGTTCATATTTTTAGAGTAGAAATTAGGCTTAAGTGTGTATTCTGTAAATTTTTTGTGAAAATCTACTGAATGATGCACAGATCCGCATCAATGAATTATATAAAGAGTAGTGATGACAAAAGTAAAAAAGAAATGATGTCAGTCTGTTTTTACTGGACTAAATCTGGGACAGCTAGGATTGTGCCCATAGGCAGAAAAAAAAGATAGCTGAGCATATAATCATATGTAACATTGATATAGTATTGCCCAATTAAACAAGGGGACAACAAATAAAAATTAAAAAGCAAAACAATGTTTTACATTTTTTAAAAGATTATTTTTCTTTTTCCCCCCAAAAAAGACTCAGAAATGTTCCTGTTGATTGTTGTCTCCCCCGTACATACAGAAATACCAGAGGACATCCCAGAGAGGGAACTCCATCAGCGCTGTAAGAACCCTAGACCTCCTCACCTACAGGCGGGCCGTGAACAGTCGGCTGTACAAAGACACGTTCTCACCTGTTTTTCGGAGGGGAAAGTCGTCTTTGCCATCGTAGGTTCCCAGTAGTGAAGGGAGTTTATATGAGGGGGGAGTTCCAGGGGTATTGCTCTGTGGGGGGGAGCTCTGCTCCAAGGAGGTGTGCTGGGCCCCCCTGCAGACATGAACACACACACACACACACACACACACACACACACACACACACACACACACACACACACACATTTTTAAAAATCTTTAATATATTTAGATCTGTTGTCTTGAGAGGCACATCGTTTTCTTTTTTCTTTCTTTTCATGTCACACAGCAGGTATGTGATGAAGCTGTTTCTCCACAGACATCTGCACTCATTGGTTCAAATAATGAGTGGATGAGGAACACGCGTGGATTACAGAGACCGTCAGTGTTGTGGTTCCCCGTTCTACCACTACCTGTTGGTACCACTATTATCTCCACTAGTATCTTCTGGTACTACTACTACCTCCAATAGTACTTGTTGGTACCAGTATTAGCTCCTGTAATACCTGTTGGTACCACTGCTACCTCTTCTAGTACCGGTTGGTACCAGTATTAGCTCCTGTAATACCTGTTGGTACCAGTATTAGCTCCTGTAATACCTGTTGGTACCACTGCTACCTCTTCTAGTACCTGCTGGTACCAGTATTAGCTCCTCTAGTACCTGCTGGTACCAGTATTAGCTCCTCTAGTACCTGCTGGTACCAGTATTAGCTCTTCTAGTACCTGCTGGTACCAGTATTAGCTCCTCTAGTACCTGCTGGTACCAGTATTAGCTCCTGTAGTACCTGCTGGTACCAGTATTAGCTCCTCTAGTACTTGTTGGTACCACTACTACCTCTTCTAGTACCGGTTGGTACCAGTATTAGCTCCTGTAGTACCTGTTGGTACCACTGCTACCTCTTCTAGTACCTGCTGGTAGCAGTATTAGCTCCTCTAGTACCTGCTGGTACCAGTATTAGCTCCTCTAGTACTTGTTGGTACCACTACTACCTCTACTAGTACCTGTTGGTACCAGTATTAGCTCCTGTAGTACCTGTTGACACCACTACTACCTCTTCTAGTACTGGTTGGTACCAGTATTAGCTCCTGTAGTACCTGTTGGTACCACTGCTACCTCTTCTAGTACCTGCTGGTAGGGCTGCTCAATTAATCGAATTTTAATCACGATTACGATCTGAGTTTTGAACGATTATAAAAAACATAACAAGCCGATTATTTGCTCCTCCCGCTTGCGCTGCCCTGAGTTGCAAATGAAGCGCTCCTCCACAGTGTTGCTAATTTAGCGACTTTGACGCTATTTCTAGCAGCTTTTCAGACCCCCTTCTTGACTTTTTAATCCTAAAAGTACCTAGCGAACACCTCAGAAACATCTCTGGTGACCCTTAGCTACTTTCTGGATAACTGTCGTCGACATTTCCTGCAGGTTAGCTAAACACTCCGCCTGTGCTCCGGACCGTTCTTCACAACATTAGGAAAGGGAATGATGCAGTGATGTGTCGGTCGCTAAAGACAGCTCTCGGAGCCGGCTCCCTGTTGGACTAACCAGAGTGAGTGACACACACACCGCACCTTCGGACTCCTGAGCAGCTAAAAACAGCTAAATGTGCGCGTGCGGCGAGCTAAACACACGTGCAGCTTGCCCCGATTGCTGTGAGACCGGGGTGGGGGGGTGGGGGGTGCAGCTGTGGTCGGGACAATTATTACATTAACTGATGGGCCTGTAAATAAATAGTTTATAAATAAGGTAGAAATAAGTTCCTCACGCTGATAACTAATCTCTCTGAGGACACAGTCCTACAGCACCTTGACACGACTCAATAAATGTTATGCAACATTTTGTGAACATCAATTTATTTGCATTTATTTGTTATAAATGCCACTGTATAATTCTTGCTGTCAGTATTTGCAAGATATTGGTATTTGGTTCTGTACTGGTTAGACTCAAGGTCTATAGCCCTTGGGTCATAGACTATGAGCTATAAGTATATTGGTCTTTCTATACTGGGAATCAGGAGTTCTTTTAGTGATCATCTTGTTTCTTATTTTTGTCCTGATTGTGCCCTGAGCAATTTTATGACTGAATAAAAACAAATAAAATCAACATAAATTGAAAAATCGTCCTAAATAATCGTGATCTCAATTTCAGTCACCATAATCGGGATTATTATTTTTGCCATAATCGAGCAGCCCTACCTGCTGGTACCAGTATTAGCTCCTCTAGTACCTGCTGGTACCAGTATTAGCTCCTCTAGTACCTGCTGGTACCAGTATTAGCTCTTCTAGTAACTGCTGGTACCAGTAATAGCTCCTCTAGTACCTGCTGGTACCAGTATTAGCTCCTCTAGTACCTGCTGGTACCAGTATTAGCTCCTCTAGTACCTGCTGGTACCAGTATTAGCTCTTCTAGTACCTGCTGGTACCAGTTTTAGCTCCTCTAGTACCTGCTGGTACCAGTATTAGCTTTTCTAGTACCTGCTGGTACCAGTATTAGCTCCTCTAGTACCTGCTGGTTCCAGTATTAGCTCTTCTAGTACCTGCTGGTACCAGTATTAGCTCTTCTAGTACCTGCTGGTACCAGTATTAGCTCCTCTAGTACCTGCTGGTTCCAGTATTAGCTCTTCTAGTACCTGCTGGTACCAGTATTAGCTCCTCTAGTACCTGCTGGTTCCAGTATTAGCTCTTCTAGTACCTGCTGGTACCAGTATTAGCTCCTCTAGTACCTGCTGGTACCAGTATTAGCTCTTCTAGTAACTGCTGGTACCAGTAATAGCTCCTCTAGTACCTGCTGGTACCAGTATTAGCTCTTCTAGTAACTGCTGGTACCAGTAATAGCTCCTCTAGTACCTGCTGGTACCAGTATTAGCTCTTCTAGTAACTGCTGGTACCAGTAATAGCTCCTCTAGTACCTGCTGGTACCAGTATTAGCTCCTCTAGTACCTGCTGGTACCAGTATTAGCTCCTCTAGTACCTGCTGGTACCAGTATTAGCTCTTCTAGTACCTGCTGGTACCAGTTTTAGCTCCTCTAGTACCTGCTGGTACCAGTATTAGCTTTTCTAGTACCTGCTGGTACCAGTATTAGCTCCTCTAGTACCTGCTGGTTCCAGTATTAGCTCTTCTAGTACCTGCTGGTACCAGTATTAGCTCTTCTAGTACCTGCTGGTACCAGTATTAGCTCCTCTAGTACCTGCTGGTTCCAGTATTAGCTCTTCTAGTACCTGCTGGTTCCAGTATTAGCTCTTCTAGTACCTGCTGGTACCAGTATTAGCTCCTCTAGTACCTGCTGGTTCCAGTATTAGCTCCTCTAGTACCTGCTGGTTCCAGTATTAGCTCTTCTAGTACCTGCTGGTACCAGTATTAGCTCTTCTAGTACCTGCTGGTACCAGTATTAGCTCCTCTAGTACCTGCTGGTTCCAGTATTAGCTCTTCTAGTACCTGCTGGTTCCAGTATTAGCTCTTCTAGTACCTGCTGGTACCAGTATTAGCTCCTCTAGTACCTGCTGGTACCAGTATTAGCTCCTCTAGTACCTGCTGGTTCCAGTATTAGCTCCTCTAGTACCTGCTGGTACCAGTATTAGCTCCTCTAGTACCTGCTGGTACCAGTATTAGCTCCTCTAGTACCTGCTGGTACCTGTAGCTGTTACATAAACAGTTGGGGCTGAACAGCTTAAAGCCTGGAAAGGCATATTTGACGGTTCTGAGCTTCTGCAGGAACAGCCTGTGTGATGCTCACCAGCACTTTGGGGAGAAGGAATGGTTGAGTCCACTGGGACATGGCTCTTTCTTACTGAGCAGAAACTCCTGCAGCTTCAGCTTCACCTCTGTACTGGCAATGGCACCTTTCACAGAGGGACACAAGAAGAAAGGAAAGGACAGGTCAGAGTCTTCAGGACTCACAGCAGACGGGGGTAAGTCTGGTAGAGAATGGTACCTACTCTCTTTGCCCTTCTCCTTGTTCCTCAGCAGCAGCAACTGTTGCTCCAATCTTTGTTTCTCCTGTTCTTCGTGTCTTTGTTGCTCCAGTTTCCTTTTCTGCTCCAGCTCTTGCTGCCGCTTTGCTGCCAACAGCTCTTGTTGTTGCTGAAACACAGAAATCAGGTGAGTGACTGATGAACCAGGGAGGCAGTGATGAAGGTAAGGAAGCAGACTCGCAGCCCTGAGGGGTAGAGGACCTTTAAATGTTCCTGCAGCTGGACCTCGTGTTGCCGTGTCAGAACTTCGTGTTTTTTCTGAAACTCTGCAAACAGCAGCTGTTTCTGGAGTTCTTGCTGCTGTTTCAGTAGCACAAGTTCTTGCTGAAGCTGCTGTTCTCTCAGTGCTGTATCCACTGCTGCACCACCAGATAGAGTCCCCACCCTAGGCTCGGTTCGAAGGTCCACTGGGCCTCCACCACCTCCAGGGCCTTCTCCAGGACTACTACCTGGAATTAAGCAAAGAGCAGCCCATGTGAGACTGGAAGCTTTGCTGTTACATTTTTCTGTGCAACAAACATGACCTGAGAGGCTTCGGCAGCCTGAAAACCACTAAGATACCCAGTCATTGAGAGTAGGAGATCCAGCAGATGACTTTCACTCATGAAGCAGTTTGAGCTCTGTAACTTCTAACCCTTATTCTGCGTCCTGGTCTGAGGTGTGTAGATGTGTGTCTGCGTGAATCTAGACTCACCAGCTTCTCCACTTGCTGCTCTCTGCTCGCCGGCTGCTCCTGTTGGACTCTGCATGCCTTCTGGGAGGCTCTTCACCTCCATCACTAAAAACAAAACAGACCGATTACATTTACTCTCTCACACACACACACACACACACACACACACACACACACACACACACACACACACACACACACACACACACACACACAGATCGACGGCTGTTACTGCTCCCTGATGAAAACCTCCTAGCCTAATATTACCTAAGCAGTGAAAGACACAGGCTAGTATAATTAGCATTAAAACTCATGGCGTTAGCATTAGCTCTGATATCATTAGTATTTACCTTTATCTAGCACAGGGGCTCAGGGCCAAACTAGGGTCATGGTCAGGATTAACCTTAGTGTAATCGGGGTCATCTGGTGACAAGACAGACTGATGGTGAGAGTTCTCATGTTTCAGAGTCTGAAGCACCGTCTGCTGTGATTGGCTGCCGCAGCTACCTAAGGGAAAGTCACTTTGAGCAGGGCACAGATACCGACTACGCACTCTTGGCCTTGGGTGTACCTGAACTGGGATTAATCTACTTCCTGGAAAGCAGCATACACAGCCACATGCTGAAACAGCAGGATGTTTCCTTCCTACTGGCCAGAAACTAAATTCAATTAGGAATGCTTTACAGTGACCCCTGACCTTTGTAAGGTGCTCTGATTGGTTACCTGTCCCTCTGTGACATGGACTCTACTTTTAAAACCCACACAGCCTCTAATCTCATCAAACAGTCACATCTAGAGTGAGGCCAAGCCACTTAGCTCCATCCTGAGCACACACACACACACACACACACACACAAACACAAACACATGCACGCACACACACACACACGCACACACACACACACACACACACGCAACACACACACACGCACGCACACACACACGCAACACACACACGCACGCACACACACACACACTCACACGCAACACACACACACACACTCACACACACGCGCGCACACACACACACACACACACACACACACACACACACACACACACACACACACACACACATACACACACACTCACACACACACACATGCACACACACAACATACACACACACACTCACATGCACGCACACACACACGCAGCACACACACGCAACACACACACACGCACGCACAAACCCATGCCCACGCAACACACAGACACACACACACACGCAACACACACACACACACACACACACACACACACACACACACACACACACACACACACACACACACACACACACACACACACACACACACACACACACACACACACACTTGTAGGGCAGAAGAAGTCTTGGCTGAGGGATAACTGGATGCTTCATTTAGCTCCAAGTAGTTAGTCATAAAAACATTAGAAACAGAGCTGAAGAGAAACAAGGCTGTGTGTGTGTGTGTGTGTGTGTGTGTGTGTGTGTGTGTGTGTGTGTGTGTGTGTGTGTGTGTGTGTCTGTGTGTGTGTGTGTTCTTGTACTTGCTACATACTGAGGACCATTTTTACTTATTTCCCTACAAAGTGAGAACGTTTTGTGGTCCTGGCTTTTCTAAAATTCTCACTAGCTGGATTTAGAGCTGTGGTGAATAGAGTCTTAGTTAGGGTTAGGAATAGATCAGCATTGGTTGGGGTTAGAGTAAGGGTATGGGTTAGGCAGAGTGGTGTCACAAACTTGAATGGGAGTCAATGGAGGGTCCTCACTATGATAAAAAGACAAACATGTGTGTGTGTGTAGCTTCTAAATTAGTTGGCGCTTCACTATGACGCACGTGTCTCCTCTTTACCACCACACACTGTCTACAAGTCTCTGTGTGTGTGTGTATGTGACACACACACACACAGAGACGTTTTTGTACAACAGTCCAATTGGCAGGAGAGCAGCATTCCACAGCAGCCAGTGTCTGACGTCAAACTGGGGGCATTTATAGCATGGTAAACACACACACACACACACACACAGCCTGAAAGTGAGGTGAAGCTTTTAGTAAATCCTAACGGACTCAGAACGAATACGATGACTGAATGAATGAAGTTTTGCCATCCGAGGCTTACTGCAGAAGCCATTCAGGTCCAGGTTTACTCCACAGATCCACCCAGACTCAATGATCTGATTCAAACGCTCGAAGCAGAAACGGCTCTGATCTACAAACTGTTGTAGGAAATGACTAAAATAGGTGCCAACAAATCTAAATGTGTGTTGGGTTTAGGGCTGGTCTAGTGCCCTGAAAACTTTTTCACGTGTAAAAGGACGCTTGAGGACGCTTAGGTCCTTCAGTGTCTGTAGCAAGATGCTGCAGATCTTCTATAAGTCTGTTGTTGAGAGTGTAATCTCTTCAGCCATCGTCTGCTGGGGTAGCAGCATCAGAAGCAGGGACCTGAAAAGGCTCAACAGCCTAATAAAAAAGTCTGGTTCTGTTCTGGGGACGACTGTGGTACCGCTGGAGGAGATGATGCAAAGAAGGATTCTCCAGAGAATCAAGAAAATGATGGACAACCCTGAGCATTCTCTTCACAAGACTGTCCGACAACAGAAGAGTGTCTTCAGTCAGAGGCGTCTTCAGTTTTGCTGCAACACTGACCGCTACTGGAGATCCTTCCTGCCAACAGCCATTGTAATATACAACAACTCTTTGATGACTTGATTATTATTATTATTCTGAGCTACTACAGCAATCAATTTCCCTCTGGGATTAATAAAGTATTTTTGAATTGAATTGAAGTTCAATGTCTATGAATTATTTTACGGAGAATGACTCGAGGGTTTCTCAGTGAACCTCTGAGGATAAAATCTAGATACAAATCTAGCGGTGATCACGTATTTTCTGTGGTGGCTCTAAGCTAGGGAACGCATTGCCTTTGCTTGTGAAGCAGGCTCCATTCCTCCAGTCTTTCAAGTCACGTCTAAAGACACAATTTTACCAGTTGACCTTTTCCCATTGAGTCACAAGTCAGTCTTGGTTTTATTGTGATTTTATTCTTTTATTGTCTTGGAATTTTTTAAGCTCACTTTTATCATTACTTATTGTATCTTTTTATTGTTTAAAGCAGCTTTCCGGAGTTTTCCCCTTTCAGAAATGAGGTATGATTTTTCAGAAATCCGTAAAAGCGATCGTCTCATCATGTACTGTGATAAATGTAAGCCATACGTCTTTTTTCTGCTAAGCACGCCCCCTGTCCCGCAGAGCTCCGTGCAATAGGAAACTGAGCGCTGACCAGAACTAACCAATAGTGTTGGACTACCGCTTACTTGCTTCAAATTTAAGGAGTACCTCGACTGATGCAGAGTTGATGAACTTTTCACAGACAAGAAAGTCTCTAAAATATAAATATATGAAACACAACATGACATGAGAATAATACTCGTAAAACAGTGTGTTTTAGCTCCGTTTGTCGGCTACAGAAGCACATTTATGAACAGAAACGTGAAGTCGCCATCTTAAACGAACACAGGAAAAATTTTTGTGTGTGATATGCTTGTCAGCCACTAGATGGTGCCATCGGATAAGAGAAATACTCCAGAAAGAAGCTTTAAGGTATTTTTTTTTTTACTATGCTCTTGCCTCATGTTTTAAGTTTGTGATAGTGGACAGCACCTAGTGGAAGGTGCTTTAGAAATATTCTCCTCTTTTGACAATCTTAAGGATGCGCCTGGTGGTGTTTTACACTCTGCTCAGTTTTATGGTTTTTATCAGACTCTGAACCAGGAAATTGCTGCAGACAGTAGCCAGAAAGCTCTGGGGCAACCAGCGAGCCTGCACTCTAGCCAATTAGTGGCCGACCGTCGTGATGCTGGCTCGGCTCAGCCCTTGGAACCACAACGGAGCAGGGGCTGAAAAGAAGAGGGAAACTAGGAGGGAAATACCTGATTGTGCTGTTGGAAAAGGAAACCAGATCGAACCGCAGCAACCCGAGTCACGCAGAGTAGTGCCGTTTGAAAAGGCCTACATGGAACACATGACAACAAACTGCTTCAACAAATATGAAAACATCTAGCTGAGCCTTCTACATGAAATATCCAGAGTCATACATCTGTCCCAAGGTGATCAGCTATTATTAGCTAATAATGAGACCAATACAATCAGAAATCGCTGTTTAGCATTGACATGAATCATCAAGGACCTTAAATTACTTGATTCCAAAAGCTCATTTTGGTTTGATCTGTTGAATTTAAGCTTGGTTTAAACTAAGTGACTGCTCAGTCTTTCACAGAGACGAGTGTTACCATCATCTGCGATGGAAAACACGGAACAAGAGAGAATTTGGCTAAACCTTCTACAGCTTTAACCACTGATACTAACAGAGAGGTCTAGGGATCCCACTAGCTTTAGACCTCATAGCTAGCCTAGCAAGCCATCCATATACGTGAATATGCAGAGCAAAATTATTTTGCTTCAGCAACCGACGGTCTAGACTTCTGGGCTACCTTACAACCTGAAAACGATGAAATCCCAGCATCCTCATGGACAGAAAACCAGATGACCCAGCTCCGTGGATAAAACGTTTACAGGTATAATGACTGGAAACAGCAGCTGTATTTCTGATTAATCAGTCTGAAGATTTGCTAGGAAGGAATGTTGTGTTTTCAATGTGTGAGTATCAGGATCAGTAGGGCCTGACACCCTAAAGGCCCTGAACTGGATAAACTGGATAAAATATAACGTTATCTCTCGTGTCACGTGACGCTACGTGACCGCCGTGGAAGCTGTGGTCACGTGATGCAGGGCTGTTCCATTTAACCGTTTTCTTTGACCAAGGAAGGACAGTGTCCTCGTAAGCAAGGTTCCTGGCCTCGCAAGACGTCGCCTTGCAAGGCCAGGAACCTTGACATTGAGAAACACCCAAGGTCTCTGGATGATGCCATAATAGATGCCATGTTTCCTTCTACGGGAGCCTATGAGGACAAAATGCATTTACTGATTTGTAACAAATGGTTACAAAACTTTCTCCATTCTTATATGTTGTTCTTTTACACATTTACCTTTTCACTTGTTGCCAGTGATGAAACTGATGTGCTTGTTATTTTGCTGAAGTTTGCACTTCCCAGGGCTTTCTGACCCCAATGGGCATCTGTTGGTAAGATCTTACTCCAACAGAAAAATAAGCGTTGCTTGCAACAATTTAGGTATCTACTAGGGCTGCTCAATTAATCGAATTTTAATCACGATTACGATCTGAGTTTTGAACGATTATAAAAACAAAACAAGCCGATTATTTGCTCCTCCCACTTGCACTGCCCCGAGTTGCAAATGAAGCGCTCCTCCCACAGTGTTGCCAGCTTAGCGACTTTGACGCTACTTCCAACAGCTTCTCAGACCCCCTTCTTGACTTTTTAAATCTTAAAAGTACCTAGCGAACACCTCAGAAACATCTCTGGTAACCCTTAGCTACTTTCTGGATAACTGTCGTTGACGTTTCCTGCAGGTTAGCTAAACACTCCGCCTGCTCTCCGGACCGTTCTTCAGGACATTAGGAAAGGGAATGATGTAGTGATGTGTCAGTCGCTAAAGAAATGGTTCTCAGAGTCGGCTCTGTTGGAGTAACCAGAGTGAGTGACACACACCGTACCTGCGGACTCCTGAGCCGCTAAAACGGCTAAATGTGCGCGTGCGGCGAGCTAAACACACGTGCAGCTTGCCCCGATTGCTGAGACCGGGTTGGGGGGTGGGGGGTGCAGCTGTGGTTGGGACAATTATTACATTAACTGATGGACCTGTAAATAAATAGTTTATAAATAAGGTAGAAATAAGTTCCTCACGCTGATAAATAACTAATCTCTGAGGACACGGTGCTAGTGCACTCTCCTACAGCACCTTGACACGACTCAATAAATGTTATGCAACATTTTGTGACCATCAATTTATTTGCATTTATTTGTTATAAATGCCACTGTATAATTCTTGCTGTCAGTATTTGCAAGATATTGGTATTTGGGTCTGTACTGGTTAGACTTAAATTAGTTAAACCAAGGTCTACAGCCCTTGGGTCATAGACTATGAGCTATAAGTATATTGGTCTTTTTATACTGGGAATCAGGAGTTCTTTTAGTGATCATCTTGTTTCTTATTTATTTTTGTCCTGATTGTGCCCTGAGCAATTTTATGACTGAATAAAAACAAATAAAATCAACATAAATTGAAAAATCGTCCTAAATAATCGAGATCTCAATTTCAGTCACCATAATCGGGATTATTATTTTTGCCATAATCGAGCAGCCCTAGTATCTACTGTAGAGCCCTGCACGGGCCTAAAATGTGAGCCCGTGTCCGGCCCGGCCCGAGGGGGTGGAGCCCCAGCCCGACCCGGTCCGAAAAGGTTTTCAGGTTTCTCTGGCCCGACCCGAGCCCGACTTTTTTTTTAACCATTCATAATGTTTTAGCGTGATAGAATGCTCAGCATTCTAATTATCTGCAGGAAGCGTTCTGCAGTAAAAAAGAAAAAGAAAGAAAAGAAAGATAAACAGCATCAATGCAGCTTTTTTTTTCCTAACAGAGCGTATTTTTCGAGCGGCAGATGAAATTAATGAACGCTATATTAATTGGATGCTTTAGTAAATTTAATCTGCTCTGAAAATGCGCTTTTGTGCAATTAGAAAAAAAAGCAGCATTCTAATTTTCTAACTGCAGAGCGCATTTTCAGAGCGGCAGATTAAATAAATGCCCCCAATTAATATAGCGTTTGTAAATTTAATCTGCCGCTCTGAAAATGCGCTCTCCGGTTAGAAAAAAACAGCAATGAATGCTGTATTTTTTTAACTGCAGAGCGAATTTATTCACAGAAAAATAGAATGCAGCCGTTTTCATGAGAATAAACAAATGGTTTCTGACATCAAAGTGGACATAAATGGCATATTAGAATAGGGGCACATGTTTCAATCAGCAGTTAGAGAATTTGTTTATATAGGCGCGTTTATAAACCACACAGACCTTAACTGAGCTAACGGGTGCCGGTGCGTGAGAAGCAGGCAGGTGCTGCTGCGTTCAAGTGTTTCAGTTTTTTTTATGAATTCGATTATAAATAAAGGCACCCGGCCCGGCCCGGCCCGTGTCCGAGGTAATTGGCTTCAGTGCAGGGCTCTAATCTACTGCCTCCTATCGCAAGGAAAAATACACACTGTTACTTTAAATGTAGCTGCTATCAGTACCAATCCAATAGATTTAAAACATTAAAAGCTCTAAACACTCTAAATATTGCAGGAAAGCTAAATAAATCTCACAACTTTGTGTGTTGTGAGATTTATTATCATAAATATAATTTTTATTAATGTTATTTTTATTTTAACAGTTTTAAGAGGTAAGGAAATGAGATTAATGTGATGTGTTAGTTTTATTTTGAAGGGCAGTTCAGTGGGTGGAAAGGGTTGTTTCTGGTTCCGGTCAGCGGCTGTTGTGCTAGGGAATGTTGCTCTGTTCTGAACTGTTCTGTGGATAAATGGGAAAGTTGTAAGGTGTGGGTTACTGCCGACAGTATTCTGAATAAAAGACCCCTAACCAAATAACCTGAGAGAGTTAGAGTCTTAGGTTAATAGATTTATTTATTGTACTTGTTTATTATTTATTTATTTATTACTTGTAGCGGATGCTGGCGGGCTGAACACGGTGTCGTCCACCACAGAAAGGCATCCAGCATGATAACTTTTCAGGTTAGTTGGTCTGGTTTCTGACGGTCACACTCATGCAGATGAGTGTTAGTGTTGCTGCATCTAACTATTGACTGCTCCAAATGTCTTTGTATTTCAGTGTCATTGCTCCTGAAATCCAGCCATTTAAGGCCGTCTACATGACAGTCACAAAAGAAACGGCTCTCAGAGCCGGTGTCGGTACAAGATCTGCTCAGGGTCCGTCGACTGCCGATGACGTCAAAGTAGTTGATTGGCTGAACATGAACCTTACGGAATTACGTAATCACTTTACGTTGTTATCACGTTACGTTGGTCCAGGCAAATCTTTCTGTTGGAAAGATGGACAACTTTTACAAAGAAATCCATCATTACCTCTTTGAAAATACACTTTTAGCATAGAGCTGCATGTATTTTAGGGCTGGACGATTAACTGCATGTGCAATTAAATTGCGATGTGACAAAAGGAGAATTTCTAATCGCCATTTGGCAGCGAGTGTTTAGCGCAATGCTAATATACGTGGAAAAACCCATAGGAATGCTAATGCTAATATAACCGATTACATTCTCACAAATTATGACTTAGAAATGTGCCAAATGATTACATTTGGAGTCTAACAGAAAGGAAAACTACCATCAATCAAATAAGTACAGACAGGTATTTTAGTAAAGCCAGAAAACTTTTAACTCCAGAGTTTTGGCTAGCAGCTATGAGCGTAACTGAACTACTCATGGACAAGATGTCAAAAACTAAACACAAAATACTTAAATAAACGGGACACACTTCTTTCCTGCAAATACAATTTCACAGGTGTTGCTAATACCTATGATCCTTCAAGGGATGTGCTCAAAGAGGAGTTCAACATTATGAATACAATATAGTGTTTTATTTGACAAATACCATTATAAACACAAACTTACGTCTTAAGAAACATTATTTTAATAACGAAACTGCTAAATTCTTTCCAACAGTAGAGATGTGTAGTGTATTTTGTCCGAGTGGGTTTGCCGTACTTTGACGTCATCGGCAGTCGAAGGACCCCGAGCAGATCTTGTACCGACACCGGCTCCCTCTAGAATTAACCGGAGTGAGTGACACACACAGTACCGGCAGGCTCCTGAGCTGCTAAACACCAGCCATGTATCGCGATACCCTTCTCCTAAAAATGGCCAAATGTGTGCGTGCAGTCAGTATTTGCAAGATATTGGTTGGAAATTTGGTTCTGTACTGGTTAAATAAGTTAAACCTCAGTCTTTGGGTCATAAACTATTAACAAGTGTTTTGGCCTTTTTATTCTAGGAATGAGGAATAATTTTTTTGATCATCTTGTTTCTTTCTTTTTCTTATGTATTTTTCTCCTGATTGTGCCCTGAGCAACTTTATGACCAAATAAACAAACACATAAAATTAACATTAATTGAAAAATTGTCTTAAATAATTGAGATCTCAATTTCAGTCACAATAATCGTGGTTATCGTTTTTGCCATAACCGAGCAGCCCTGCCTGTGTTTAAAAAAGGAACTTAAAAAGCGCTTAGCAGCTACACTGGCTCATCGTTCCAACCCTGTTCCAAACGTAACGGCCCCACACTCAGCTCCACCTCGTTTCCCATTTTTGAATTGTCTGGGCATGACGGGACCTGTGACACGGTCAAAATGGCGGTGGTGGGAACCTCCCATTTTGGCATAAAAACTTATAATTCAAGCCTAAGGACACAAACTGTCCAGTATATATGTTGATGGTTAACACCTGTAGATGCTCTCTAGAAAGTCTGAAAATATCTTTGAAACTCCACAAACCCTCTAAATCTGGTTCTTTAAAGATGTCAGTCTGGTTTCCAACAATATCCACCAATCAGGACGTTAGATTCATAACGTCTACCTGATGACTACTGAAAGGTCAAGTCTCTGTGCAACTAAACAAATCCAGTATTATGTGAACCACACCACAAGTCTGGGTCTGGTCCTGCTGGTTCTCCACAGAAAGTTCTGGTGCTTCTAGATCAACTCATCCCAGTTCCACCAACACAATACACTGTGTGTGTGTGTGTGTGTGTGTGTGTGTGTGTGTGTGTGTGTGTGAGTGTGTGTGTGTGAGTGTGTGCGTGCGTTTGTGTGTGTGTGTGCGTGCGTGCGTTTGTGTGTGTGTGTGTGTGTGTGTGTGCGCGCGTGCGTGTGCGTTTGTGTGTGTGTGTGTGTGTGTGTGTGTGTGTGTGTGTGTGTGTGTGTGTGTGGGAGAGATTTACAGACAAAACTACTTTTCCCTCTATGGTGGCAACACATTCTCACACCCAAAGCATCAAAATATAACAAGTCGGGGTGCCCCAGCACGTCAGGAGAGGGGGCACGTGCCACCGCGGGCATCTGTATTTGGCGCCCATGGTGACACGGACATTAATCCTCGAACCTCTAGCGATTTAGCCTTCCCCTCACCCCCAACCCAACTTCAACTCAGTAATTTTCTATTAGGTTTTGCACGCGCGAGCTGGTTAAGGTTAGAATGGGGGCGAGGGAAGGTTGAGTAGTTCAGAAGTCGCTCAAATGTCCGTCTCACCGCGGGCGTCGGATACAGACGCTCTGGGACAGTACGTCGTCTCCTGACGCGCTGGGGCACCCCGAATCCTCATATTTTGACGTTTTGGGTGTGAGATTGTGTTGACCGTGGAGATGTGAAGGACTGATGAACTGTACTAAAACGAATCAGCTGATCCAGAGTCAGGCTTAAGTTATGTACATTGTTGCTGTAAACAGCACCGAAGGCTGCTCGTTTCTGCTGGAGCAGATGATCCTGTGGTGCTTCATTAAACAGCTTCTCTTTCACTCCCATCAGAAACTGTAGCTAACAGCCCCCCAACATCATGTTTACCTTTACTGCTGCTCCTTCTGCATCTAACATCTGAGCACACACACTCAGAAAACTGTCTCTGACTGGTAAATTAGTTCCATCCAGCCCTGCCTCCCACTCAGCCCCACCTCTGCTGTCCCAGAGATGACTCACCAGCAGTGGGCATGGCAGTGCCGGAGCTTCGACTGCTGCTCAGGAGCTCCAGAGGCTGATGACAGCTGTCTGTGCTTGCAGAGGAGAAACACGACTCGGTCTCGTAGATGGTCTGCAACATGGCACACAGTCCTGACACCGTGGGGTGTACCAGCATACCAAGACAACGTTTATTTAAAAACTCCGAGTCCTTTTCTTGCTAGATGCCAGCATGACTTTCACTTCAGCTGCCAAAGACGAGGATAACCATGAAGCCAACCCTTTAGACGGAGTTACTTGTTAAAGGGATACATGCATCTAAATGTCATGTGCTCTAACCATAAAACTACAATGGTTTCTTCATGAAGAATATATAGATTGAAGCTCCCAATTTCCGTATGAGTCTCCGGCCGGTCAGTGCAAGCTCCTCTGATCAGCCTCCTCCACCTCCTGCAAACTTCTCATAAGATCATTGTAGCAGATAATTCCAGTAAGTCCTCACTGCAGGGATTAAAGGATTGGGCCAAAGATGGAGTAGAAGGTCCCGAGTCCTGTTGATTACTGAAATGGAGGCTGTTGCAGAAAATCTGTGAGATGCCTTCAGATGAGGTTAGAAAGTTGGTTTTTTTCTGGTGCAGTGTGCTGTTTCAGTTCATCCCACAGCAGGCAGACGGATGACAAGCAGCGAGAGTCAGAAACAACTCCATCAGCCGGAGAGCTGCTGCAATCAACAACAAAAACAGGACCACGGAGACGCCAAATTCCCACAGTGAGCCTGAGTGCATCAAAGGATCCTCTCGCTGTTCTCCTGGTCGACAACAGGAACGGAGTAAAAGGAGGATGACAAGGAAGGCGGGGAGGAGGAAAGGCAAGGACATAAATAGCTCTGGGAGAGCGCTCTCCGAGGTTCCATGTTTCCAAAATTAGAACGACGCAATGAGAGAATAACAGAAGGAGAGAGAAAGGGGAGGAGGGGAGAGCTAGGCTTGAGGAGAGTGTTGAATCCTGAGAAACTGGAACGTCAGATTCTAGTCCTGAAAACACAGAAAAAGAGAAGCTCTGTGTGGGAGGAGAGGTAGCTGACACCATCCGTCTGAGGGCTGCTGGTGTGTACACTCGCTGACGCTCTGAGCTGCTGAATGAATGGAGAGGGAGGAGAGAGGGGAGGAAGCTGAGGAGGAGAGAAAGGCTCAGCGTAGATCACTGGGTGGGAAAGAAGTTAAATCGGTCCTTGTCAGGGGACGTATCGGGTGCTGTAGCGAGTTGCATGATGGGAAGCTAGGTGTATAAACAAAGGAAGTGTTGGTCGTTTTGTGTTGTGAGCTTATAAACCTGCAGGACTCCTGTTGTGTGAAGGGCTGCCTCTTCACAAGAAGGTAAAAAAGTTAAATGTGGGCTGGGATCGTCTCAACCGGATATTTTCCATGTTTTAACGTTTATTTTGACGGAGAAACCTTAAAGTGACAATGTGTAGTTTTTAGCATTCATCTCTGGAAATATCCATCGGAATGTTGTAGTAAATGAAATCAAAGATACACAGTTGTTGAAACATATTGGCAGTTTCATAACATGTAACCATAAAAATCTGTTCTAAAATACATGGAGCGGGTCTAACGGGCTCTGGGCGACGCCATATTGGATGCCTTGCTACCTTCTACGGAAGCCCGTGTGGACATAATGCATTTGCTGATTTGTAATAAATGCTTACTTTCACCATTAATAAACATTGCTGCTTTACACCTTTACCTCTTCACTCGTTGCCAGTGATGAAAGGGAATCTGATGTTCTGGTTATTTTGCTGGAGGCTGCACTCCCAGGGAGTTTTGACCCTCATGGCCATCCGTTGAAAAGGTCTTATTTGAACACAAAATACTGCTTGCATGCAGTGGTTTAGGTATGCACTGCCCCCTACTGCCAGGGAAATACACACTGTCACTTTAAGGCTGTTGGGCATTCTGACAGACTGGAATCACCCCGACACATGCAGGTGTGCGGACACGTTAAACGTCACGCACAGAGAACATTATGGAGGTAACAAAATACATCAAAAGATTCCCATCAGAACATCCGAGTTCTCTGGACACCATGATCAGTGCAGCTCGCCATCAGCGCTCTGAGGAGCTGTGGAGAGCAGCTCGGAGTCTGCGGGTCACAGCCCAGCAGCAGAACCAGAACACAGCAGGTAAAAGTTCCTACTTTAAGGGAAATTGTGTCACTGTAACATTAATATGTTGCTTGTTTAGACTAAATACTGACAAATGAATGAAAATTTAATGAAAATGACGGGAGGAAACGATCGTGACCGTTTTTAACTCTGTCGGTCAAACTGAAAACAAACATGTCTACCCTGCTGTAGGTCATGTTCCTGTACCTGTTGTAACGTATACTGATGATAACTTGTTTAATTACGGCCCATCCAGAAATAAAACCTGGAGCAGCGCCTGTGTTAGTGGAGTCGTGATTCTGGACGACTACTCCTTACTTTTACTCGGTCATAAACATGAAGAAGTAGAGCTACGCTAACTCAGGGGATTTATTTTCAGCAGTAATGAAACGTCTGAGCTCCGTTTGTTTCCTCTGAGGTCGTACGGATGGATGGATGGAGGGATTGGGGCTGAAAATAGCCTGTTAGAGGGGAGGAGGAGCCAAATCTAAAAATAAACAGGAGAGAGATGGCAGAGAGAAGTGGATCCAGCTCTGTGGGAAGGGGGGGTTCCTCATCTCAGCATGGGGTTGTCCTCTGATCCAGTTTCTGCTAGCTCCTCAGGCTAATGAGGAAATATGCTAAGCCTCAATGTCCCCTACTGGTCTCAGGAGGGACACAGACGTCCCTTACTGCTTGCATGAGGGACGTAGTCTGAAAGGTCCTTGTTCTGCTCTGCAGTTGTTGAGACGGCTGCAGCTAGCTGTTTCTAGAGGCAGTGGTAACCCAAGGACCCACAGGTGGACACAAGAGTAGGAGTGATCATCTCCAAAGAGGTTCTAGTAAACCATCCAGAGCCTCAATGACTGATGTCACCTCTCTTCTTGTCTGATCCCTTCCCCTTCATGGCCCACTAGTGTCTGCAGATCTGGGTTTACTGCTTGTCCCACAGACCAAACGTAAGGCCAGGTGATAGGGCCATTCAGGATGTGGAATCAGTTGCCCCTTGGGATCAGACAAGCACAGATATTGAAGATTTTTAAAAAGAAACTAAAAACTAATTTATATGCTTTGGTGTTTTTACAAGGTAGAAAGTAAAAAAAGCACTTGTGTATCTGCAACATTTAATATCTTGTCGTGCACAGCCCTTTGGGCCTCAAAGGAAGGTTAAGGCTGGTGATGGTGATGACGAAGACGACGACGACGTGTGGATGCTGTAGGACTGCATTGGCTGACACAACGCAAACACATCAATACGTTTGTGTAAAGAAAGCCGTGCTGTGTTGTAGAGTTATGTAACCATGATAGAGGAGTCTGTGCTTAAGAAGAACTCAACTGTACATTTGGAACTAGTCTGGCGTGTCTCCGAATGACAAAACACAAATCACATTCATCAGCACAGTGAGGGTTAGCTAGTAGCTACGTTGATTTCATTTGTTCCAACCCTGTTCTAAACGTAGCAGCCCCACCCTCAGCCCCACCTCTTTTCCCGTTTTTGGATTGCCTGGGCGGGACTCAGTCAGGGAAAACCTCCCATATTTGGCTTCAACTTGTGCCCCGGCGGAGCGATTGGCAGGCTATGTCCATATTTTTATGTCGATGGCAGGAACAGAATATTGGACCAAGTAAAGCCAGTTCAATGCCGATGTTTGATAAAGCGTCTCCAGATAAAAGGACAAGCAAGTGGGAAAAACTAGAACTGAAGGAAGAACTTTCTGCATGGTCAAAGACTCGACTCTGACCACAACGGCGGGGTTGAACAGACTGCCTAAAGTCCACGATCCTTAATCTTTGTTTAACCATGACCCAACTGAGATATGGCTGCAGCACGTATCAAACACAGTTAAGACCATGACACAGGAACAAGTTTACATTAAAACTGAACAGATTACAGTGGTTTCAATTAAACACGTTGTAGAGCTGGCCTCGAGGACGTTTAAGCATAATTTATACTTCTCTGTCAGCTCGGCGAGGGAGAGACGCACACGCACTGACAGATACGTTCCGCTCTGAGATTCCTCCGTCAGCTGGGGTTTGTTGCTAAACAATTCCCCGCCAGGACAACAGAGGGCATATTCTCAGGTATCCTGCCACCATCACAGTCATGTAACCGGTCCAGAAGATTGTGTTTACACTGTTTTAAAGTATTTCTGAGACTTTGAACACAAACCAGTTTTTTCCCCATCCACCTCTTCATGCAAACCAATAAAACACTTGCTGCATATCTTCATATTCCATCAGTCACGCGTGAATAAACGTTCATATTTTCATACTTTTCCCGTGATGTGTTCTTCAATCTGTTCCATGTCGGCCACTAAATATCTTTACATTTTTGAGGGGGCAGCGTCCTGACCAATCACAAGCTTGTGGTGTCCTTCCCTTTCGACGGATAGTTAAAATCGGAGCATGTCACCATCACACTCTGGAAGCCGGTTGGAAAGCTCTTGCACTGACACATAATGGTGTAATGTTTTGTAAGTGGTTACTTTTAATAAACTGTCATTAAAATATAAAGGTAGTCAATAAAGTGTTTAGTGATGCACAGATATGTAATATTTAGGCCGATACCGATATTAAGATCACTTTGATACCGACATACTGACATTGTTGCTTCTAAAATTGGCAGATTTTGTATAGAATGAAAATAATTAAAGGTGAATTTATGTTATGTACACACACACACTTATGGTTCTGAGATCATTTCATTCACTGTTCATATGACTAAACAACTACACATCACACCTCTCACCCTCTGAAACAGGCAAACAAATGGAGACGAGATGGAAAAAATATCGGTTGTTAATATCGGCCCGGTTTTATTTATTGAACTGTTACGATGTGTTAAAAAATGACTAACATTGGCCAATACCGATATTGATGCAGATATAGTGTCCATCCCTAGTAATAATCCATAAAATATGGATTATCAATAATATTTAACATTTAAATTTCGAATGATGATATGAATAGGTACTTTGGGTATGCCAGGGAACCAACACTTATAATAAGCAAAATATAGTTTATAAAAATACAGTTCTTACTTACAGTTTCTACGACTAATGATCACACAGGATAATTACAGATAAATGGTTATTCAACGTAATATCAGCTGAGAATTTTAATGGCACATGATCTGAATTCTTACCACCAGTGCTGGCGGCTCTGGTGGGAGTTTTAACTAAAGTTGGTTGGTCCTGAAAAAGGATGACTCGTCACCGCTAAAATATTCTGTTGAAAGACCCGGTCTGATCCACCAACGAGAGAAGCATTTAGCATGAAGGCTTGCTTGAATTCAGTTTTAGAGGAAGTGACTAATCTTCTAAAAAGTTTTGGACCAATCAGAAGCCAGAAAGTGTATCAGGCGTTAACAAAGTTCTCAGACATCACCCCTTTCCCCAGAAACTTAGAAAAGGCTTATTTCACTTCATGTGTGAAATAAATATGAGACAACAGTCATCTGTTAATATAGTGAAATGGTTGGGGTCTGGGGTGATGGGTTGCTTTGCTCAGCATTGGGCGAGGGTGCCTGCTCATCATCACCCCAGCAGAAAGAGGCCAACTCTGGGAACTGATGATGCTGTTCGTGGCTCCCGGGTCAAGGAGTTTAAGATTTCTGGCGTCTGCCTGATCAATCCCGGTGGCTGCCTGGTGGGATCTGGGTCCCTGGGCTCTGCTGGGTCCCTGACAGGGCTGGCCGCCCCTGGGTCCCGGGTCGCTGGGTTCCGGGCTCGGCCGGCTTGGGGGTGGGAGGCTGCGGGCGGGCCTGTAGGCTTGCTGCTGATATCTCCGGGACTCTGCCTAGTAGTCAGCCTTAATTACTCTTGGTTCATTCTTCAACATAACAGCACCTGATTACCATCAACACTGGGAAAACCCCACAAATGACAGGTCAAAACTTCCAGAATCCACACCGAACGCGCTTTTGGCAAGGGAACTGACTGATGCTCTGCAGCTCTTCAGACAACAGATCTGATAATCAACAGAAACAGAACCACCCTCCAAGAACATCTCCCTAAATGTAACGGAAACTAAAAACAAAACGGAACAATTCCACCCGTTGTTTATGTACGCGCGACACCACAGAAAACTGTTCCAAACAAATGTCAGCTAACATCAGTGCGGTAGCGGTTCACCTTTCACACGAGTTTCTAGTTCCATTTTGCACTTTTTTAGCAGCGTTTTGGAATCTGCGTCTGAAGGTTTGAACTTGGACAATGTTTAAACACGAGAGAAAAGTGAAAAGGTAATGCATATCTGAGAAAAGTGCATAAGTGAGGGGTTTTTGCTGCAGTGCGCTGGGACGCATTGAGTTCATCCATCAAAATACAGTCAAATGGAAATATCTGTAACCTGCCATTTAACTGTTTTGCCTTCCTGTGAAGATTGTTGCAAAGAGAAACAATTAAACTTGATTAACCCCAGAGCCACGCGCAATGCGCTGTACGTCGTGACTGTAAATGAGGGGAAAACGATTTAATCGGATCCTTTTCTTTTCAACATGGTTTAATGTAAAGTTTCATTCAGTACAAACTTTAGTTACACCAATCTAACGAGACAGAGCCTGGATTTGGATTCTGAACAGTTTAAACATGTTTAAAACGGAGACATGCGTGACGCGTCTAAAATTCGCACCTGCTCCGCTATTATGGAAATTAAACTAACAAGATGAATAACATCAAATTATTTTAGGCACAGACAACATCCCCCACACTTTTGAAAAGCTTGCAACGCGCCTGGTCGCTCGTGTACGTCAAAGTTATCTTTCATAAGAAGATAATGAATAAAACGATTTATATAAAGTGGATCCAGAAGTTGTAGCTCGTCTCTGCCTACAATATTTTGATATTTTTCACCCTGTTGATGGTTTTACTGAGCAGGTGCCACTATTGTCATACGTTTCCTTTTAAAAACATGTTTAGACTGTTCAGAATTCAAATCCAGGCTCTCAGAACCAGAGCGCATGTGAGAAGATTCCTCCCACTGAAGCGAGTGTTTTCCAAACCCTGTCTCTCAAAGACTTGTCACTTAGAAAATGTTCCCTGATTATGAAACTTTGGCTGAATAGCACTTGTTCCTGTCTCCAATGTGGCGACACATCCAGGAGCCGTCTGAGGAGAAGCCCAGAATCTGACATCCTCCAGCTCAGGAAGCGCATATGATTACGCACAAGCGTGACGCGTCAACCCGGTCTCACAGTAAGACCGGGTTGGACCTGTTCAGGTTTACGCAGACAATCTTTACATTTAGAATTGGCTTACAGATGTAAAATTAATGCAGTAAAATATAAAGCATTTTATTTAAATATCCATTCATTATTTTACAAGCACAGAGAGCCGCATCAGATGGATGGAAGAGCCGCATGCGGCTCCAGAGCCGCCGACCCCTGTGCTAGCCTATATTGTCCCCAGCAATTTTTAAACACCACTCAAGTGTATGGTTATTGTCCCCAGCAATTCTGAAAACAAACTGACGCCCTTGGTCAGATTAGACAGCTGACTGACCAGGTCACACATCTGTGTGTGTGTGTGTGTGTGATTGTGTGTGTGTGTGTGTGTGTGTGTGTGTGTGTGTGTGTGTGTGTGTGTGTGTGTGTGTGTGTGTGTGTGTGTGTGAGTCAGCAAGTGAGTGTGTACTGCAAGAAATGACTCATCACTGTGCTTCTATGTAAGAAGCACCCACCTCTAGAGCCTGGAGTCACACTTTTCTCTTCCCCGCGCGCGCGTGTGTGTGTGTGTGTGTTTGTATGTGTGTGTGTGTGTAGGGCTGCAACAAACGATTATTTGGATAATCGATGAATCGGATGGGGTCTCGACACGATTAATCGATTAATCGGATTACATGGGGAAATTTTTTAAAACTGCTAGGGAAACGTTATTTCTCTCCTTCCTTCACTTTATTTAACACAACATTATTAGAAAACAGTTCAATAGCAGAAAAACAACATGCCATCACCTAAATTGTCTTATAAGGTGTATAGACAGAGACCCTAAGCTACATCTATCTGTGACCTAAAATGCTTGGTCCAAGTTAAACAGCTTAAGGGCAATTCTCATCTGTTTTGTTTGATCTCATCTGTTGACATTTATTATAACTGGGGATGTCAAACAACTAATTTTTAAATGTAATTAAACATAGGCTGTGAATTAATCCAAATTGATCACTATTTCCAAAAATGACTGAAAAAATAAGTTGTCACACACTCCATGGAAACTTTCAGAGAATCCACAAATAGTGGCTTTCAAATGGTTTTGTTACTTTCTGCAAGTTTAGAAAAGCAGCAGATGAGACAGCATGTCTGATAATTTAGTTTTTCATCTGATAATATTAGAACATGTCAGTAATGCCTGAGGGGCTTTTATAAACACTGTATAACTAACACTACTGGAGAGGGCATGAATTACACAGGGGCTTCTGGGGAGCCCAGTTATGGGGGGGGGGGCATTTTGCCTTGGCCCCCAAAATGTCTTGAAACGGCCCTGGGTGTGTGACTGAGTGTTGAAGGTGATCTGAATAGTATCAAATTTATAAATATTACATGTGTGTAACTTATTGTTTTATAGGTAAAAACGTGTAGTGGAGATAAATCTATCTACATTTTACTTTTCAACACTTTGTTTTGTTTTGTTGTTTTTATTTAACTATTTTCCTGTCCTGTCTGTCTCTCATCTTCCTGCATCTCCTCTTAATTCTCCAGAAAAACTGCTGCCTGGATTCTTACCTTTTCACCTCATCAGTTACTTTTGAGCAGGTCAAAGGGATCTCCTGACCGCAAAGCGCAGAGCGCGTTTTCGATGCTGCGTGAGGTGAAATCACCGCAGCACAGGTGAGGAGCTCCGCAGTAGCAGAGCGCTGAAGGCACAAATAAGACAGAAAATAGAGAACATGTGCAGACATGAACGATCGTGTGCTAATTATAGTTTTTTGGTTGCGCCACTTTGAGAATGGACCGTGCGCTGGAAGCAGCTGCCTGGTTCGCTGCGCAACAACAATGCGCTGTGCCGCTCTCTGCTCAAAAGAGTCCAAAAATGATATAATATAGAAATTTTTTTTCCGGTTCCCCTGGATGTGTAGGATATACAGCTCCCACATAATTCGATCCCTGCTCCTGGATGAAAAGCCGGACATTTTCATCAATACAAGAACCCGCAGTCCGGATGCGCCGGACAGAGAGTGAAAAGTGGACACGTCCGGGGAAAACGGAACGTACGGTCACCATAGTCCTCATAAAGCGGGAAATTATAGATACAGTATTTTGCTCGTGCCCTGGGCCCTTTAGAGTTCGTGGGCCCTGGGCAATTGCCCAGTTAATCCGGCCTTGGGCGGAACCGGTTCGCAGCAGCGCGAGTCCCCCCGCTCATCTAATAAGCGTCGCGCTCACGACTTTAGACTCTTTTTTTTACGAGTTTAGGGCATGTCTAGCCTGTGTAATAATCCGGGACTTGGATGAATCACTTTTGAAAAGTTTTTAATTTACCCGGACACAGAGTTCTCTCCTTCCTCGCTGATGATCCCGACATGCTTGCGTTTAAGACGCTGCATCATCCCGTGCCATGCTAAGTCTGACCTAAACGTTGCAGGTAACGAATGTCTTCGCCTGATTTAACTGAAAATGCTCCCAAACTTAAAAAGCTTTTACTTTTTTGACTCTCGCTGCTTCTGCCATGTTCCTCTTCCAAACACCTACCGGCTCTCCCTCGCGCTGATCTGTCTGCGCGCAACGGCGGGCGGGAAGGGGGGGGGCGCTTTTAGAAGAGTTGTGCGACACAACGAATCGATGACGCAATTCGTTGCCAACGCTTTTAGTAATCGATTTTCATCGAATTTATCGATTCGTTGTTGCAGCCCTATGTGTGTGTGTGTGTGTGTGTGTGTGTGTGTGTGTGTGTGCGCGCACGTGTGTGTGTGTACTTGTCTATATATCAAAGTGAGGACCAATTACATTTTTTTACCTGCAAACTGAGGACATTCGTAGCAAAGCAGAGCTGGGTATTGTTAAAAATTTAAAGAATCGATCTGATTCTGATTCTCAACAATTAGAATTGATTATTGTGATTTGATTTGGTTTTGATATATCCATTCAGGTCAGTGAACTGTTCTTTTGTTGCTGTTACCTTAATTACATGACTATGTAGTTGTGTGATATATTAAAACTATTAACATTCAAAAACTAATTATTTAAATATTGGTCATTTAAAATGGCGGTGTGGCCCAATCCTTCTTTCAGAATTGTGATTTTCACAAACATGTCGTCAGGCAGAATTAGCAAACAGATCCAGGACAGCCAACAGAGGAGGTACGAAGTGTCAAGAACCACATCGATGGACTGCTATTGGAACACGAACCGAGGGCATTATTAAAAATAACACATTGAGAATTCATCCAAAAGCTGTAGCTGCACGCACACACACACACACACACATATATTTTTTATATTTATATTGGCCTCATTCTAGACAAATGTTTTATAGAAATTCTGGTCAGATATTTTGGGCTTGAACATCTTCAGGGTTGACCACCTCTTCTTCTCTTGAATGTAATGATCATTTGCTCCAAGTAAAGGTCCCTGTCTGCACCACAGGTGGCTAGGATACGTGGAATAGTCATGAGACTATGTGGCACACTTAGACTTCCATATATCACGTGTCTGCCTTTTTATAGCTTTTTTTTTAATTCCCGCTGCGTTTGTCATCATTAGCAGTGGTTTTACTTTCCTTTCTAAATTCACCCTGTCCCGAACACGGTGGGAAAGCTTCAGAATTGGAGTGTGGAACGTTTAAGCTCCATTAGCCTTACTTTCTTCCCGTAAAGCACAGACTTTCTGTTGCTCTGTGCAGCAGCTTCACTCTTTCTGCTTTTCCCAGCACCCACTGATTGCCTTTTCTTTAGGGCTGCAGCTATCGAATATTTTTGTAATCGAGTACTCTATCGAATATTTTATCGATTAATCGAGTAATCTAATACATTTTGTGTTTGTAAACCATTTTATCAAATTGCATGTTATTAAATATGAAAGACCTCTTAAAATGAGCAAGCAATTGCCAGTTATTCAAAATTAGTTTTCAAAACTTCAGCACTTCAGCTTTACTTCACAGTAAACAAATGCCTGTGCAAGAAATAAGAAGACAACCTGAGCCGATTTTCCCCTCGTGCGAGAAGTAGTGCTGCGAGCGGCTGCGGCCCAAACAGCACCAGAACCGCTCACGGCGCATGCGCAAACAGCTCGCCAGCTGTTTCCCTATTAACACACGTTCGTTTTAATTTCTACTTTTTTTTCTCACACACTAACAAGGATTGTCGAGAAAGCATGTTTGCCATGGATATGTCAAATTATACTGATCACAAAACATTTATTAACTTTCTTTCATTTTCCTCTCATAA